CAATTTTGAAATTTTGAATTAGCTATATTATTTACTGATTTAGCGAAGATGTAGTATTTCTCTAAATTACCGTTATATGGGATGTGGGCGTGGTTACTGTCCGATTTTAAAAATTTTCGGCCATTTGGTATGCTGTACCAAGGTCAACAACTGTGCCAAGAAATTGGTGCAGCTGTTATCAAGATATACACATGTAACCATAAGTGGGCGTGGCTACGCCCGTTTTCCAAAAATTTATAATATTCTTATTTTTCGTCTAAAATTTATTGTAAATATCAATTTTGAGTGAATAATCTTCAGTAATTACTAAAATATCACAGTTTTCGTATTTCTGAAAATTACCGTTATATGGGAAGTGGGCGTAGTTACAGTCCGATTTCGCCCAACCTACCTTGGATAAATGGAAACCCACATACCAAATTTCGTTGAGATATCTCAATGTTTGCTCGAGTTATCGTGTACCCGGACGAACGGACGGACAGACATGGCTTAATCGACTTCTCTATTCATTCTGAGCATTTATGTATACATTTGTCTATATCTATCTCGATTCGTTTTGGGTGTTACAAACAACCGTTATGTGAACAAAGTTAATATACCCTTGTGCACAAGTGCGCTCGGGTATAAAAAAAAGAGCCGGATCAGAGAAAAAACTACTAAACAACCAAATTCGAAAAATATAAAAGAAAAACAGCCAAGTTTGGTTGGAAACAACCAACAGTGGCAACCGTGTATACATATGTTAATTTATTGAGTCAACCACATACTGCACATGAGTGTGAAGTTCTGAATACATTAAAAGCAACGAGCTACGGGCCACAGCTTCCAATTTGTTATCTCCATTATCTTAACGTTTTTCCGAAGGCAACATAATTTTTTTGAACGCCGCTGCGACATCTTGAATTTGTATGAGTTTGACATAAAAGAAGAGGAAGAACCTTATCTGCCGCTGGAAAAATAGAAATAGATCTAATCTGGCTACAACTACAGTCGTCGCGTAGCCCTGTCGTCGCCAAAATTATTATCTACATATGAATACGTGGAAAAATAATTTGACAGATGTGGTCCGTAACTCGTCGTTTTCATTCACCCCTATTCTGAATAAAAATTTCTCCTGGATTATTTCACTTTTCGCTTCTAACCTATCGTGAAAGTTTTCGCCCCACATTTTTCGCATGTTCGAAACTTTTCGCCTTATTGTGAATAGAAACTTTTTAGCGGAATTTTTGACATTTCATCATTTCTTGCTCACCTGTTTCCTGTAGGCGGAATAAGAAAATTGGAAGTAAAATATAAGCATTTCAAACAAATAAATACGATTCTAATTTAAATATGTAAATTTTAAGGTCGAAAACAGTTAACAAAACGCAGTCGGAGCTGCTACTAAACAAAATGACTCCAAATCCCGACATTGCGCGAAATTACACAAAGCAGAACAAGTATCGAGTAGCTGCATTTTGGAAAAAAGTCCATTATGCACTAAATAGTAAAACAACAAGACAATGTTATACGTTTCTAGGGGCCAGTTTTTCAATGCCAGTTTAAACTTAGATCGCGTAAACTACGTTCATATTTTAAAGCTGTCTGACATTTGATTGGATAATTTTAGTTTAAACCAGCTAGCTCGAGCTTTTAAACTAAGTTTAAACTACACCCGTGTACTGGAAAACTGGCTCTAAATTAATGCAAACTTTTTCAAAATCAAATCAGGTGTGGAATGAACAAAAGCGCTACGTTAGAAAATATGCGCACAGAATCTCCAGCAAAGTAGAGCCACTGGTGGTGGACCTAACCAGACAGTGCCTTTGTCTCCTACTGAGGAAGCTATTTTTCAGTTGATTGGTGGAAATGAGACGGTCGAGGGCGTTGAGTATGGATCCGATTTCGGATTTTCAATCAGTGAATTCAATGTGAACCAAACTCAAAATTTAAATGACAGTTTTCAGTCATCGTCAGCAGAAGCAAACGAACGTTCCGCCTCTGTAGATGTTGAAAGTACGTTATCATTACGGTGACCATCCGTCCTTTATTTTAAAGGACAGTCCTTTATATTTTTTTTTTCAAAATAAAGGACGCCTTTTGTCCTTTATTTCTTAAACTGTCCTTTAAATCGGCTTTGCATTTTTCAGAGGTGAATTTTTAAACGCAGAATATGGAAAATAAAAATATCCCTTATTATATATAATGAAAACTTTCGCCAGTTTGTTTCGCACCCCACTTAAGGGTTTCTATTTAATCGGTAATCTTTGTACAATATATAAAGCACAGGGAAAGTTGTGTGTCAGTTCTACTGAAGGAGAACAATAAACCCCCTGCTGCACAGTGGTTCAAAACTGGCACTAATTCACTTCATTTTTCACTTAATTTGAATAATTTTTATTTTTTTTATGAAAGCTTATAATATTTACAAGAGACCAGTTGAGCCTGATTTCTGAATTTTAATTTGATTATATTAAATTTTTTAGTGCAAAATGCAGAAAAAGTAGCAATTTTGAAGAAAATGTATTCTCCTGTTCCAGTTAATAAATGTTACATAACAAAAACTAGTTGAAAACAATTTTATGGTTCTACCAAAACAAAAAATACACAAAAAAATTAAAAAAAACATGTTCACTAAAAAAAAATATTTTTTTTTTTGGCTTTTAGCAAATATTGGATGAAAGATGAGGGCTGGAGTGGATTATGAACATTGATTCCAATTTTGAATTACTGTGTGTTGGCTTCGTCGTGCAGAATTAATTATGGTAAACGCATTTTGGTAGCAAAGGATGGCGAAGTCCTTGAAAAGGATTTGGCTTCATTTTTCGCTACAGCAGGTAAACTTATACAATTTAATATTATAATTAACTGGTAAATATTTGATTTAAATTACGATATGGGCAAGGTACTCTTATCATACAAGTTGTATGTACGTATTCCCAAATCATTTTGAAAAAAATGTCGTTTATTTTACGCTGGTTAATATGGTCACCGTAGTTATCATCATCTTGCCCTAAACGCAAAAAACCTAAATAGTCGAAAAAGAGCTGGAAAATCAAGAAAAATTGTGTGCTACAATTTCAGAGGCTGTTGTTGAAATAAAGCAGCATAATAAAGAAGAACTAATGATGTTTAAGAGAATATATCATGCACTTGAACGTGCAAACGATTTGAAAAAGGAAGAATTGAAAATTAAAAAGTCCAGTAATGATTTAAAACATCAAGCATTAGCAGAGCAGAAGCGACATAATGTCGCAATGGAAAAAATAGAAGAAATGAAATTGGAAAAATTCTAAATAATAATGTGCGTATACCGTCGGTGTCAAATGTAAGTGTACACCTTATTGTAATATGAAATTCACAATTATCTTCATGAAAAATTTGTTTCATTAATTATTTATGAAAATATACATAGTTCATTCTATAACAGAAATCATATAAATCAAAGTTTCAGACTTTATATAAAGTTCACAAAAATTCAAACAATTTTAATAAATATTTAAAAATCTTTCTTTAGGATTTCTAGAAAATTTTCGAGTACGCAGTTGTGTAGCCCGTTCAATTTGAGTAAAACAAAGTGCAAGTATTTCAATTTGAGTAAAACAAAGTGCAGGTATAAGTCGCTAGAAATTACTGTTGATTTTTTTAGATTTTTTTTGAGGAGGTTGTTGTGCGTTTTCTTCCATAGCAAAATCTATTTTTATACGGAAAAAAATCCGCAACACCCACCTCAAAAAAAAAAATCTAAAAAATTAACGGTAATTTTTAGCGACTTACACTTCCACTTTTACTCAAATTGAACGGTCTACAAAACTGCGTACTCGAAAATTTTCCAAAAATTCTGAATAAAGATTTTTAAACATTTATTAAAATTGATTGAGTTGTTGTGAACTTTATATAAAGTCTGAAACTTTGATTTATATGATTTCTGTTATAGAATGAACTATGTATATTTTCATAAATAATTAATGAAAAAAATTTTGCATGAAAATAATTGTGAATTTCAAGGTGTACACTTACATTTGAAACCGACTATACATCTGCGTTATTGTTGTATGGTATACATTTTATTTTTTTAATAAAGCTTTAATGAAAAATTACACAAGTTCACGAATAATATACAAAATTCAAATTACAGTGTCGGACAAAAGTTTTGGCACAGAAAATTTTTTGCAATGTATGCATAGTTTGTAATCTAATTTCTTTTTGTTAATTTTTTACAAAAATACAGTTTATACTACAAAAAAAAACATAAAAATAAAATCTCTTAACTTTGTGGAAAACTCGGGAAAATTAAATAAATTCGCATACTAATTTTCAACTTTCTATTCAGACTTTTTAAACAAATTCTAAGTAAGCAGTTTTATAGCCCATTCAATTGTTGTACATATATATGTGTAATAAAGTGCACGGTTGAACTTGCCAAAACCCACGTTGTTTTTTGGCAACCATGCAAAGTATAATCGATTTTTTTTATGGCAGAAAATAATACCGTCCGCAAAAAAGTTTGCCAAAATCAACGCGTTTTTTAGCAACTTCAAACCTGCACTTTATTATACATATATACTACAATTGAATGGGCTATAAAACTGCATATTTAGAATTTTCTAAAAAATCTGATAAGGTTGAAATTTTTCATGAGAAATTGAAATTTCCTGAGTTTTGCACAAAGTTTAGAAATCATACTTGTATGTGCTTTCTTGTAGTATGAACCAAATTTTTATAAAAAAAAATAAAATAAAAAATGTTGCATATACGTACACTTGCGATTAGCTAATTAAGCCAGCAACGTTTTAATCAATTTTGGCTATTTTACTTCGGTTTATTTCATGTTTATTATTTTTTCATAAAAATATAGCTCATTATATAACAATCACCATATAAATAGACATTTTGAGCACTGTGCAAAAATTATAAAAAAATCTGCAAAGTTGCATCTAAACTTTCAACTTTTTGAGATTTTTTCAGAATTTTTCGAGACAGTTTAATAGCCCATTAAATTCTTGTATAACAAAGTGCAAGTTTTAAGTTGCTAAAAAATCGCGTGAATTTTCTGAGTGTATTTCGCATTTTTTCATACAAAAAATTTGCCGAATAAACTTTTAATGCGTAATGCAGTCAGAAAAAAACCATTAAAAATCCGCTTGACCGGTCATAACTAAATTTGACTTCGGCAATAATTGAGGCAGGAGGTCTGAGATATGGTACGTAATTAAATTTATAAATTGTTACAAATATTTGAGCGGATGCGTTGGGCAGCATCCTAAAGTACAAAATTTTCTGCAGGTTCTTCTTCACCTTGCTGCTCATTGGTTGTATGTTCATCGACGGAAGTTGCCTCGTAAATGCTTTTGTATGCGAAGCAAATATTATGTAGGGCTGAACAAACATTCGTTACTTTAACTGATTTCTTTGGGCAATAGTGAAGTTGTCTAGCTGCTAACAAATACCTCCAATGATTTTTAAGTACACCGATGGTCCTCTCCACTATATTTCGGATTTCGCGTGCACATCGTTAAAATTGTGCTGAGTAGAGCCCAGTTGAGGGCTCCTGAAGGATGTCATCAGCCAAGGCTCTAATGCATATCCAGCATCCCCTAAAAGCCACATATTCGAATGACTGCCAGAAATTTCTCTTTGCAACACCTCTCTACATTGGCTTGTTGTCCAAATTCTCGAGTCTTGACATGATCCGGGATGCTTGGCATCTACGCACCGTATTCTTTCTTCATCGTCGCATACCTTAAAATTAAAGTTTAAATTAATAAGATTAAAATGCGTGTATGTAAGTAAAACAAAATCAAAACTTACGATCATGACGTTTAAACTGTAAAATCCCTTTCGGTTACAATATAAATGCTTATTTTGTTCTGGAGCAATAATGCCAACATGTGTCCCCCGGGTATCCTATACTTCATATAAAAATGTTGAGAAATATCTCTTCTCTCCTCACGTGTAGGCCATTTTATCCATTTTGGACACAATTTACGTTGAAGTGCGTCCAATACCTCTGCTAACACCTTGCTGAAAGAAGACTGTGCCAATGAAATTTCTCTATCTCGAGCAATTCCTTTTTGGTACCCTCCTTCAGCAAAAAACCTCAAGCACGCCGCAAGTTTTATATGCATGGGGATAGCAAATGCTTTTCTGCCTTTTGGCAATGCCAACTTTACCTCATCTAAATACGGATTTATTTACCCTATAGTGCTGGCCAAACCTATAAACAATAATATCTTTAGATTAACAAATACCTGTATAAGTAAACTAGCAAATTTTACAATTCATTTGGGAAATCCAGAAGATTAGAGTGATCTCTTAAGTTCCGGCGAATCATTCTTCCGATTTGACCATTTTCCACTTCTCTATTTTTTTCAATTAGTGAGCGTAAAGCTATGCGATACATTTTTGTTTAATATTACTCCAATATTAATAAAAACTCTCAAAACTTATTTATAAGTATAATTATGCGTACTGTTGGCAAAAATCAGCTTTTGTAAGAAGAGCTGTTGATGTTCGAATTATGACCTATGTTTCGAAGTGAAACAATTTTCGCCCGGAGTTCATGATACGATATTCCGTTCCAGGGGGGAAATGAATTCCCGGCGAATTCGTTTTTCGCAATTTATTTGGAATAGGGGTGATTGTGTTCGGGCTACATACATACATACTCGCAAGTTTACGAGGCTTTTATGGGAAAGCCCCCTTTGCGAAAAGGTGTAAATAGGTGCGTAAAGTGACAGATCAACCAGGATTTTGTGAAGCAATTTTTGTTTCGCAGTATTTTTCATAACTCTTGGCTAAAATACAATTAAAAATGCCGAAAATTAGCAGAAAACCTAATTCAATACAGTTCTTCTTTTTTGGCGCTGTAACCGCCTACGCGATTTTGGCCGAGTTCAGCAAAGCACGCCAGTCGTTTCTCCTCTGTGCCAACTGACGCCAATTGGAAACGCCATCTGATCTTTCCATCGCAGTGGGGGCCTCCCTCTTCCTCTGCTACCACCAGCGGGTTCCGAGTTGAATACTTTCCGAGCTGGAGCGTCGGTCTCCAGTCAATATTCGCGTATTATTTTGTTCATTTATTTTCATTATTTTATCATACATTTTAGTACAAAAATTTCGGCCCCTCGACAACACTGAAGTTTACGAGGTCGTTTGCGTATGAAATTTGCCTCGTAAATTTACGAGGGGCTCGTAAGTAGAGCTCCATACAAATTTTGACAGTTCCTTTACGAGGCTCGTAAATTTGAGGTTTACGAGACGTAATCGCTTTTAGTGGTAACATGTTCTTGAACGTATTGCCTTATAATGTCTTCTAATTTTTGTTACTTTAGGCATTGCCGGCGATATATGTTTTAATGTTCTACAATACTTTATTAATTTCGTTGATTTGATTCATTACGGGGAATACAAAGTAGAATGCTTCATCGTAGTCAACTGAAAAATAAAATGAATACTCAAAAATTTTTTTCTACCGTTACTTTCTGTTGAAAATTCCATCGCATAAAAATCATGATTTGCTTTGTTTAATTTACAGCGAATTTGAAGTCAAGCAATGAAGTGACGTACATGAGTGAGGAAGTACAATTGTAAGTTTAATTAAACAAGTATGTATGTACATACCGACTTTTAAGTAAGATCTAAATACCTAGATAAATATATACATAAGTATTAGGTGCCCATCGAAAATGTTTTTTTTTGAAATTTCAAGGTCTCATGACTTTCAGAGAAGTGAGTATTAGCCAATTCTAGTATATTTCGACAACATCGTTGTTTCTTTGCGTAAAAATAAATATATTTTAGTGTTCAATATTGGAGGGGGTGTGAAACAACATTGTGTGCGTTTGGACTCAATGGGACATATGCGCAGAGCAATTTTCCTGCAGTGATAAGCCAAGCCAGTTAGAAAATATACTAATTCATTAACTAGTATGTGCCTACCATAGTATTTGAGCTGACAATCATTGCAAAGTCAAAGTCGCGAAACACATCTTTTATTGTCTCCGAAGAAAAAATATATCAGTTAAGGCTGCTTCCAAATATAATTGTAAAAACTTTTCTTTTTCTCTAACGTGCGGCATTTTATAAAAATTCTACATTTGGGCGATTCCACAGTCACGGGTGGGACATTTGAACGGAAAAAAATGCTTTTTCTTGTTTAAATTTAAGTATAAAGTACTCAAAAATTATACATTTGGATAAAGCTACACCTTATTGACTATTATATGAGTTATTACAAAATATGAAAAAAATTTCAGCTTACTTTTATTTGGAAAAAAGCTAAGTTATTTCTTCTGTCACTGGTGGGACAAAAAAAGAACCTGCTTTGTGGAGCCGATATATTTTACAGAAACTCTGGGACTTTATTTAACTTTTCTGTGTGAACTTGATGTCTTATAATAAAACAAAGAACCACGAATACAAACAAAGCAAAAACTACAACAAGCATAATTTCTTTATTATAAAAAAATGCGAACTTCCTCTGTCACGGGTGGGACAACGTTTGTCACGGGTGGGACACGTAGGAATTTTTATATGAAAAGGAGCTTTTAGTGGGGTCCATATTAAAGATTAGTTATTAAAAAATATAAGAAGCCAATTAGGGGTTCAATTCACTCACTTTTTATATTAGCAAAGTGCCTTTTATATAGAAGAAAATGCCAGCACCGTCAGCCAAAAAAATTTATTTAAAATCAACGCGATTTTCTAGCGTCTTAAATTTTCACTTTTACCTACTTAAATTTAATGGGCTATAAAACTGCATACCTAGAATTTTTCTAAAGATCGTGCACAAAAAGTTTAAAATTTTTAGGTGTAATTGTTAAAATTTGTTGTAATTTTATAATTTTCGTACAAAGTGTGTATTTATGTGGTTCTGGTTATGTAATGTGCTAGACTTTTATAAAGAATCTATAAACATTAAATAAACAAAAGGAAAAACCAAAACTGGTCAAAATGTCACTTAACTTAATCAGCTGACCACAAGGGTATATACATAGGTAATGGACGAGTCCGCGCTTCGCCCCCTCCTCCCCTGCGTACACCGTAACAAAGAAATAAAGCTTATCAGCCCTGTCACGGGCGGGACATGCTTCAATGTTGAATTATTCTTAAAAATATCCAAAATAGTAGGCGAACAAAAAATTTTCAGAAACTTGCAAAAGCATAAAATTGAAAACGTAAGAAAACAAATCCCAAAGTCTTATCCTGACACAGTTCACTGATTAAACGAATAATTACTTACTTACTACAAGTTTAATCAGTCGCATTTTACTACTTTAACTTCCAAACCTTCAAATTCAATTTAGGGATTTGCGTAAATACCAACCAGCTGTTTTTGATTAGCTGTTTTCTCGTTGGCAAATTGCAGTTGGCAAAAAATTTTTTCCAGCAGAAATTAGCAGCCAGAGCTGGGCGATAAGGATTACGATTACTAAACGATTAGGATTGCAGTAATCCCAACAAGCTAAAAAAACAAGATTACGATTACAGTAATCCTTCATCGAACGAACTTAGATTACGATTACAGTAATCGTAATTTTAAAAAAGTTAACATTACGATTACTGTAATCGTAATCCAAGTTCGTTCGATGAACGATTACTTTAATTGTAGTCCTGCATTGTTATACAATTATTATTTCGCCCAAACTACTTTACTTGTTATTTTAAGTTTAATATTGGTTTCTTTTATTTGTCTGTTTTTTTAGATACATACATATTATCCTCATATTATCGATAAGCGCGCATTTATATTTCGCAAATTTATTAAAATACTTCCTTTAAGATAAGCGCGCATTTATATTTCGCAAAGTTATTAAAATACTTCGTTTAAGATTACTCAAAAGGTTCTAATTGGAAAAATTTTAAATTTAAAATTATTGTAATCATTGTAATTTTAAAAAAGTTGAAATTACGATTACTGTAATTGTAATCTAAGATGCCTTCGATGAACGATTACCGCAATCCTAATTTAAAAATTTTTGAAATTGCGATTAAAGTAATCGTAATCCTAGATGCAATTGATTACACATGTAATCCTTATCGCCCAGCTCTGCTAGCACCTTTCTCTCAAAATCAAGTGCCATTTTGCGCTCTCAATTTCCCCTACTTTGCAAGTTTTTTGCGTACGCGAACGCAAAAAGCTGATAGTTTTTATAATTTTCAATAACTATCAGGTACGCGAATGCAACTAATTGTGAACGGTATTTCGATTTTACTAATTTCATTGTAGGGTACAAAGACTCACAGTTATACGTTGTACCAAAAATTGAAAATATACGGAACGCAGCTGTTTTCAACAGCGGATATTTTAAATCTGGTACTTGTTGCCGGAATTCAAGCAATAGCAAAGCTTTATGTTGCATTTCCAGTGCCTTATCTTCTTTTAATTCCGAAAACTCCAACTCTTCGCTTTCTTAAATGGGAGTATTGTAAATTCATCCTCAATTATGTTACATAGAAAAGGGTTTATGAAGTATGCAAAGGTTAACATTTAAATTCAACAATTTCAAAACGGCAAATTTTTTTTTTCAAAATCTGCTTTCAAATTATGTACAATATTTTTTCTAGCCATGGAAAATGATGAAATATTATTTTTTTGAGAGCAATATTAAAAAGACGTAGTTTAGCTTCAAAACTTAAAACAATTGCGACAAATCAAAAAGATTTTTATTCTCTCCTTATTGAGACCAGTTCAAGTTTTGCAAATGTTCCATCATATCGGTAAAGATCATTAAGTCAGAAAGCTAATTTTCATTCTCCAATTGCGGGTAATATTCCGATCCCAATTTGCGTATGTGTATATAAAAAGAATAAAATAAAACAAGTAAGAAAGTCTAAGTTCGGGCGGAGCCGAACATTAAATACCCGGTGCAAGTATTAAATATATGTTTTCCACCTTTCCGAAAGCTACCGCTACATGATAGCGTCCTTAAATTTCGAAATATTGAAATTTCAAGCATTTCTGAAATTTACCGTTATATGAAAAGCGGCCTCAATTTTAGACCGATTTCAATAATTTTCAACGGTTTGCTTTTATGTGGCAAGCACAATAACCATACCGAGCTTGGTACAAAATGGCTAGAACGGTTAGCGAGATACATATATGTGATCACAAGTGGGCGGTGCTACGCCCATTTTCCAAAATTTTGTCATAAACGTATTTCCTGGTAAAGAATTGTTGCAACCATCAATTTTGAATAAATTAGCTTCAATATTTACTGATTTATCGAAGATTTTGTAATTCTCGAAATTACCGTTATATGGGATGTGGGCGTGGTTATTGTCCGATTTTAGAAATTATCGGCCAAGATATACACATGTAACCATAAGTGGGCGTGGCTACGCCCATTTGCCAAAATTTTATAATATTCTTATTTTTCGTCTAAAACTCATTGCAAATATCAATTTTGAGTGAATTATCTTCAGTAGTTACTAAAATATCGCAGTTTTCGTTTTTTCTGAAAATTACCGTTATATGGGAGGTAGGCGTGGTTATTGTCCGATTTTTAAACTTTTCAGCTATTTAGTATGTTGTACTAAGGCCAACAACTGTGCCAAGTTTGGAAGAAATTGGTGTAGCGGTTACCAAGATATACACATGTAACCATAAGTGGGCGTGGCTACGCCTATTTTCCAAAAATTTATGATATTCATGTTTTCCGTCTGAAACTCATGGTAAGTATCAATTTTGAGTGAATTATCTTCAGTAGTTACTAAAATATCGCAGTTTTCGTATTTCTTAAAATTACCGTTATATGGGAGGTAGGCGTGGTTATTGTCCGATTTCGCCCATTTTCAATACCATCCGTCCTACGCGCCCAAAAGAAGTTCACGTACCA